ACGTATTCGAAGATTATTTCAAAATATCAAAATATTAAAAAAATGTTTGGATTAGTTGTGCTCTTATGTCCATCGTCTTTTCATGTTGAATTTTATATGTTCTAATGTTAATTATGTTTAAGGAATATGTCCTGATGACGGTCTAAAATAAACCGAAACGTCCGACGTTGACTTTATATTAACATTAATACAGCATAATTGCATATTAAGATTTTTGTTTGTTTTTTGCTGTATATTTTTCTTCATACTGTCGGATCTATATCCATATATTTGCTTACAGACTGTCTACTGAAATACAAACCTGAATATATATATATATATATATATATATATATATATATATATATATATATATATATATACAGATCGTCAGGGAAAGCTGTCGGTTTTTTTCTTTGGGATTTAAACCTGTATCTGTGCGATTTTTTCGACAGACTTTCATGTTCCTGGATCTTTCTTTTTTTAAAACATTTTTTTCTTTAAAAATTGCTTTGATTATTGGCAAATCAAAAATTCGAAGGTTTTTCGAGACGAGTATAGTTACCTATATATATATATATATATATATATATATATGTGTGTGTGTGTGTGTGTGTGTGTGTGTGTGTGTGTGTGTGTGTGTGTGTGTGTGTATAGGAATTGATAAATTTTCTTCCTAACGCGCCTAAGGTGCTGAGGAAAATACACATATGTTTATATTATTATATTTTATTGGTGTCACATTTTTTTAATCAAACGCAAAACCCCGAGATAAGAAACTGCAGTTGCATCTAGCCAATTCAACTATAAATTGATGGGACCTATCTGCCAATGTAGTACTGCGCTTAAATTCATCAGAACCACTAACATGAAATTATTTACAGAAAAAGGAACAGGGAAGCTACATTACGGCGATGGGAAAGTATCTGAACCCGAGATGCCAGATCAGGACCAATAACACTGCGGCTTCCTCTTTTCGATTCTTCTTCTATCAAGAATCTCTTAATATACAGCAGGCCCACCGGACCAAATGTGGCAGCAATATTCTAAGCATTCATAGATTTATAAATATGTAACACAGAAAAAAATTATCTAGTAAAACACAGTGAACATTTTAGCAGTAGATCTAGCAACTGATTCAATATAATCTTTCCAGCTCATGTATGCAGTGAATGTTAACTCGGGAAGGCGCAACGCGTCACTCGTATGATGGTTAGCATCAGCCATGCTGATGGAAATTATAAAGATCTTTCAGATGTTTAATAGATAGAAGTTACGTGTTGGATCCATTCCTTGCCCCAGTTAACAGCAGATTGTAGGTCATTTTTAGAATATCTACCAAGTTGACCTTATCGAACCCAAGAGACTATCCATTTTAGTTATTGCTGCTGTTGTAATTCTTTAAATGATATGTTTCTGTTATCGGGTACGGTTGTTTGTTTGTCAATACTGCGTCGTCAGTCAACGAGATCCGACGATGGACAGTCCTCTTCAAATATTGGTTCAATTTTCATCAGTGATCATAGAAAACGATTGTGCATACTGACAGTTCTCACATATCTAAACACATAGGACGGCATATCTGACAGCCATATAAAAGACTTACAGTAACAAGGTTATTCAGTCATATGGATAGAGTTCTTAGGTTAGTATTTTGGTTTTGTGGTAACTTGCGGTGTTGTGAAAAACTACCCCATAACACAGCGTATACTGTTTTTGTTGTGACCAAGTGAATGTTTAAAGAAGTTACAAAACAGGTGTTACAGATATATCATATATTAAACAGTAGTTTTAAGATTTTTTCATGTTTATACATTCTTTTTATAGATACAAATATTTAAGTAAATGCTCTCTTTATTATAAACAGAGCATTTACTTAAATATTTGTATCTATAAAACGAATTTATAAACATAAAAAAATGTCTTAAAATAATTTAATAATAACAATGTCTTTAAAATAATATAATAATAACAGACTTTGTCCATTTCATAACGTGTGACGTCATTTGTTTACAGCTGATACTCCATGAGAAGATATGAATGTTCTTGAGAGATCCATAGAAGATTGAAGTTCAAATACAGTAAATTTGACCCTGCTAGCCGAACGCTCCTGTGTGGCCAAATCGGTTAAAGGCACGTCAAGCTAAATGACGGTTCCGTATAGGATACAGGTTCGAATGCTGTCGGAGGACGAATATTTTCTGTGAAAATTTCTCGGATGTTCAGGCCGGTAAATTTTGTTTAATATGTGTTTATTATAAACAGAGCATTTACTTAAATATTTGTATCTATAAAAAGAATGTATAAACATAAAAATTGTCTTAAAATAATTGTCAGACTTTGTCCATTTCATTAAACAGAAGAGGATTACACGACTAGTGAGTGTGTGTCGGTTGATCCAGCGTTCAATCTATTCGACTGTTAATATTTAACAGACGAGGGGTACATGTGGCACAAGGCTAAGTTTACCGTGGGTTCTCCTAGCCCGTAGGCTCGGCCAAAAATATTTCCTTTGAAGAAGCTAAACGGGTTCAGGGACTGACTAACTCCCCGGACGAAACTTTGCCCTGCGGCAAAGCCTCGTCCGGGTTCCTCTCTGCCGAGGCAGAGAGTTCAAAAGTTACGAACAGTCTGGTCGACTGATCCCCCAAGGCCTTCTCTCCTACTAGTCTTATAGTAGGCGGGAGAGTCCAGCATAGACTCTTCAGAGGGAGAACACCACAACAATTTAAACCCCCTTGTCTCCTATGCTAAATTTGGCGTTAGCTAATCCATTCACCAAAATATTTGAATTCTTTAGTATTTATTACTTCTTGATTCCACATTTTTATGATGTATTCAGGTTGTGTGCTATCAGTTCTTTCATTCCAATTCCAGGTCATAATGTAACCCAATTATGTTGAAAGTGTGGCCCATTTCCTTTTGTGAATGCCAAGTTTAATCTCATGACGAAAATAACGTTTATTAAAAGTTTGCGATTCGTATTGTTCTCACTTGTTCACTCACACTGTCTCATACATAAAAGTATGCATAACAATGATTAAGTACAACATTTCTTGAATGTTGATTACCTTTCGTTGAATGAAACATTTCTATCGTTTTAAAACGCTGGCGATTTTTACTAAGATCATCTTCTGCGTTAGAAACAGGAAACTTTTTTTTTCCTCTAGAAAAATATATATATATATATATATATATATATATATATATATATATATATATATTAATTCAAGAAATTAGCCAAAATGGCATAGGTTGTGGTGTGTATTAATTACTCTGTCTTCAGTGTTAATAACAATACGTATTTTTTTTTAATTATAGAGATTTTTTGTCTGAGAATTCAAAAAAACATTGTAAGAAAACGCATGTAAGATTTTATACAATTCAAATGGCTGAGACATTTTTTACAAAATGTTCAATGTACAGTGCCGACGATCCACTCGGGTATAGTGTTACAAAATAAGAGACATCCTCTATGAGGAATAACGCTAGAATTGGATAGATTAAGATTGTAATGATTCTGGAAGCATCCACTCGGGAGGCGATTCCAGAATGAAGCAATTCGTGGAAAGAAGCTGCCTGAGTGGAACTTCTTCCTTACAAATGGAATACGAAGGAAATGAGGATGGATCACTGTTATTTGCGTGGAATGCTGGGTCTTAGCCCTGAAGATTAGAACTGGTGGAATTGCGGAATATCATCCGTCTAATCACTTTCTATGGAAATAGTAATCCAGGGTATGACGGTATACTGCATCCGGCAGCAAAGCCTCGAATCGAGAGGGGGGAATTTTTAAGTTTTGTGAAACCGCCTCTTAATTGCTGTTGTTTCTAGGTTCACTTTGACCAGTGATGGTAACGCTTGATATGGCACCAGTTATGGGGTAATAGTGGTCCCCCAAACAAAAAGAAAATTTCTGTGAAAGTATAAAAATACATTTCTGTAGTAAAAATACCAGCATTACATTTTTTCTATAAAAGTAATTGTCAACAATTTCTTTCTATAATAAAATTACCAACACTACAGTTTAAAGCAGAACTACTCTACAATACATTTTATAGAAAAATGACCAAAAAGCTTACACGTGAGCCACCAATTTGCAACTGGGTGGCATGTCACGAGGCACTCGAGGTTTACTAAGAGGCAGAGTTAATGGGGATAGATAAGGAAGATAATAGTTGACACTAGATTTGAACAGGCCATGAGTGTAGTGATTGCGGGAAGCATCCTCTTGGGATTCGGTCTCTTAAAGCAGACTTAAGTGGGAAGAAGCTTTTCGACTGGAACTTACATCTCACCAATGAAATACAAAGGAAATGTGGATGGCTCACTGTTATGTGCGTGGCATGGTGGGTCTTAGCTCTGACGATTAGAACTGGTGGAAGGAAGGAATGTAGTTCGTCTGAGCACTTTTCTTAGAAATAGCGATGAAGCAGCAAAGGCTTGCGACGTTTTCGTCTGTGGGAAAGAGGTTGTAGGGTAGAAAATAATTCATCACTTCAACGAAAAATTATTTGAATCTTTTTCAAGCCGGCTTATGATGAGCTATATTTCATTCGGCCCACTGGAAGAAAAAAAGCTTGCGCACTCATTTCTTAACCCCTTAGTTAAAATAGATATAGCCAGATTTTTTTTTTTTTTTTTTTTTGTGCCAGAGACTATGCCCCATTTTGGAAATACCACGAGGAAATACAAAAAGTTATAAGCCTAAGCTTTAAAGGACCTTAAAAATATCTCTTTCAGGATATCAAGATCTGTACATCTATCAAAAAAGCAGACTATTGATATTGGGATTCAACTGTATATTATAAGTTAATAGTTAAACCAAATTTCCACCATTTAATTCAGATACTTTAATTATTCAAGTCCAAACATTAGCTTGATTAGGTTGTCAAAAAATATACAACCAAAAAGTGTTCGATTAACTGCATAAAAGAGCTGATTACATTTTGAATAATCGAATTTGCTTTCCTAACTGATTGATTTTTTTTCCTTTCTTTAAAGGATATAAAAGCGAATCATCAATGCTGTGACGTCACAACAGACGAAGCCACGAATTTTGACCCACTGTCAAAAATGGCGTGTTCTAAGTGATTAAACGCGATCGGAAGGAACAAGTGACAAGCGAAACGCTGAGGATGAAGGATGTAGGCGAAAGCAAGGAGCGACGATCGGAAAAAGGTGGGCAGGAGCGGATGGGATAGATGAGATGCATAGTAGCGTAAATAGCGATTTCTAGAGCCGAAGCTGAAACCGACGCACGATCGGGGGGGGGGGAGTGCTGCGAGGTTGGAAGGACTGAGAAGAAATGGCGCCGCGGTTACGAATTCCGCGAAATGGATTTCTGTTGTCAAGTGTCGGAAGTAACATTATACGCATGCGTCAATCAGTCTTACTGACTATGCGCTTGCCGCCTTCTCGCTATGTCTGAACTGTTGGCCATGTTGAAGTGAGTGAAACACGTCCAGTCCTTGAGGTCAATGCGTATAGCCAAGCGTTAACTGTTCATACGAAGAACTTTCTAAGATATATTGATTTATTTTTCAAATCCGTTTTCATATCCCCAACGTTTCAGACTCTCTACTTGCTAACCTTCGTACTTGTCTCGAATGTGGAAAGAAACCCGGTGTAGCATCGCAGTGTATACGTCCAACCTAGTGTATACGCCCAGCCCATCGTATACGTCCAGCCTAGTGTATACGTCCAGCCTAGGGTATACGTCCAGGCTAGGGTATACGTCCAGCCTAGGGTATACGTCCAGCCCATTGTATACGTCCAGCTTAGTGTATACGTCCACCCAGTGTATACGTCCAGCCTAGTGTATACGTCCAGCCTATGGTATAAGTCCAGCCTAGTGTATACGTCCAGCCTAGTGTATACGTCCAGCCTAGGGTATACGTCCAGCCCATTGTATACGTCCAGCCTAGTGTATACGTCCAGCCTAGTGTATACGTCCAGGCTAGGGTATACGCCCAGCCTAGTGTATACGCCCAGCCCATTGTATACGTTCAGCCTAGTGTATACGTCCAGCCTAGTGTATACGCCCAGCCTAGGGTATACGTCCAGCCTAGTGTATACGCACAGCCCATTCTATACGTCCAGCCTAGTGTATACGTCCAGCTTAGTGCATACGTCCAGCCAAGTGAATACATCCACCCAGTGTATACGTCCAGCTTAGTGTATACGTCCAGCCTAGTGTATACGCACAGCCCATTGTATACGTCCAGCCTAGGGTATACGTTCAGCCTAGTGTATACGTCCAGCCTAGTGTATACGCCCAGCCTAGGGTATACGTCCAGCTTAGTGTATACGCCCACCCAGTGTATACGTCCAGCCCAGTGTATACGTCCAGCCTAGTGTATGCATCCAGCCCAGTGTATTCTCCCAGTATAGTCCAGATTATACCTCTAACCCAAAATATGCTCCCAGAATCGATTTTAACTCAAACCCAAGATATACTCCCAGTTGAGAATTTACTATTTTCCTGGCATCAGTTCTGACGAGCTATTTACACTGGTATCCCGACTGAATGAATTTAAGCGTGCTACTAGGTTGACATCTTGGTCCCACCCTTTTACTGTCGAAACAGTTAAATGTAACCCGCCTCTTCCACTCCAACAGATCCTTCTCTCGCACTTCCCGACAGTAGAACTCCCTTCCTCTTACTTGCTTCGCTGATAACTATAATCTTCAAATATTCAAATGTAATCTCAATCTCTAATATTTGACTGTAGCGGGTGTAGTACTTTCTCTAATATTTGACTGTATTTTGGACCATGCAACCGCTCGTCAAGGAGAATCAGCTCATTTTTCCCTCCAAACTAGATATCGCCACACACCATTACTCCAGTCCCTCATGTTTTATTGTCGCCTGCAGACATCCAGTGTTCCGAGATTTATTCTGATTTCTCCAAACACAAGCCTCGAATTCGAATATTAGCAGAATTTACTTTCATCTGACCAAATAACAGACAGACAAAATTTATAATCTTTGCTCACGAATTTTCTCGCCCAGTCCATACGCCTGTACCTCTCAAATCAAAGGCTTCTTCCTTGCAACTCTTCTTTGATAGTCTAGATCTTTCAGAGTCTTTCTCAACGGATATGGCGACATTTCCATGCTGTTGGCGACATCGTTGACGCTCTGACGACAGTTCCTGGTGATTTCCCACTTCAGACCCCTTTTTTTTTGCGCAAACGCCATGCTTGGTTTTCCGAACGTTACTCCACAAGACAATGGCCTTCTTCATTAAATCGCTTGACAATATTATTAGCCGTTTTATGATTAACCTTGAAAAACCTAACAATTTCTCTATTTGACTTGCCACACTGATGCCATCATATTATTTGCCCGCGTTGAAATTCACCAATTTCTTCACTTCCGCGAACTTTCATTACAAAATGAACTGTCGCTCATACATGAGAGTATCTTGAAACTAACACGGTATTGTCTGAAAAAAAAAGAAGAGATGTCATTACACAAGCCAAAATTGCTGTAATCAAGGGTGGCTAAAAACTTATCGTAAACCACTGTATATTCTCTGCCCAAGTTATATGTTAAGTACCCAGTACACACCCAGTCAGCGTATACGTCAAAACTTTCATAATCCCAACTAAGAGCATACTCCCGGTGCTGTGTATACTTCCGTCTAAGAATGTGTTTTGCAGTGTAAATATTCGTTGTGCATTATAATTACCGCTAAAAATATTAATATTACGGCGTATTTCTGTCATGAAATGCGTCGTAACCATGTTTAAATCGGTGTGAAAAGAGTAATGGTTATAATAACCGTTTCCTTATAAATAAACATTTGGCATCCATTGACCGAGGTTCGAATCCATTTTATTTATTATATTTTCTGGTGTGGACGAAATAAACACTGTTTAAAAAAGGAACTTTCTACTCAGATACTAGTATTCACTAGCAGTAGTTGTATTAAATGTACAGAATTAGTTATTTCTTTTTTAGAAATATAAATATCTGATTAATGTTGAATGAGTTAATGTCAAATTTTATTGCCAATTAGTAGAATGCTGTCATTAAAAACCGTTGGCGATAATAACAGTAAAAGAGATTACAAGGTCTTTGGTTAGATAAACGTCTCTCACAGAGGAATGGGCTATTACTCTACAACGCTGACGTAATGCGTCGTGATAGGGGTAGATGATACAGGCTTGGGTGATCATGTCTCTTTTCGATTTATAACCGCCCAATGAATTCGATCTTGACCCAACGATTTTTCATTCCCAGCCGGTATCAATTACACCTTCCGCACATCCAAGCTCACACCACAGGTATTTCCAAGCAGTCACCCAAATGGCCACTGACTAAGTTCGAGGTTGTTAAATTCGGTGATTTCAACGTGATATGGCCATAAGCACTTAGAATATTTTAGACGACTCTTTTTATACTCGGATTCACAAAATAGGCTAGATCCTTTCATAGAGGATGTGGGACAAAGCCTGTTTCACGTTGTTTTTTTTCCGAGCCCGTAGGCCCAAGCACAAATTCCCCGTAGACTCCGTAATAACGGGGTCCGCTTTGTCTACCTCCCCAGACGAGACTCTGCCCTTCGGCATAGCCTCGTCTGGGTTCCTCTCTGCTTGAAGGTTGAGTGTACGACAAGCACTAAAGGTTGAGTGTAATGCGACGATTTTTGGCCTATTTTACAGGTTGGGATAAACGCCAAATTTTACCACGAGATTGGAGAAAATGAAAAATTGTACCGTTGGATTTTCTGAATACTATAGCCCGATTATATGTGAATCGTGACAAATAACTAGGATAAACTGTGGCTAATCCATTGACCACATAAAGAGAAAAGGTTTGGTGAATTCAACACCCACAAGTGATATCGAACGTAAGAGAGGTAGATACAAGCAATAATAAGCTGATCAAGCAAGTTTAAGGAAACAGGTGGCGGAAATTGTACCATATAAGCAAATGTGGATTCTAATGGGGCCAATATAATTTCAAACAACGAAAGAAGATCATGGAGGGCTGTGATCACACGAATTTTAAACCAACATGGAGCACTGAGGTATTTTAATTACTTGTATCTGTTTAACGTTCAATGTCAGTTAAATGAAATAATGATATCGATCTATTAAGTGATTTTTTTTCTTTTTGGATTTCGAAAGTTAACTTCATTTAACTACATACCGTTCTATCATATTTTCAAACAGATTCCGTCGTAGAATATTCCTCTAACTCTACCACAGTTGATGTCAAGGGTCAATCGTTATCTATCACCCATATCTGCATAACCCCCACTCCCTAACTCTTACACTTTCATTCATATCACATTACTTTAGTCCTGGGTATGACGATAGACTACATCCGGCAACAAGGCCTGTAATCAGAAGATTGGAAGTTTTGAGGAGCGTGGAACCACCTCCTTATTTGCTGTTGTTCCTAGGGTTCACCCTGACCCGCGGTGGTAGCATCTGTTTGGGTAATAGCTATAGGCAAATAGTGAAACACCACCCAAGCAAAAGCAAAATCTATGAAAGTATAAAATGCATTTCTTGTAGTAAAAATATTAGCAGTACATATTTATTGTAAAAATACCAGCAATATATATTTTATATAAAAAGGTTTCCACCAATGCGTTCATATTAACAAATCTATTTAAATTACTACCAAACAAACAAATGAACACTTTCATGACATAAGTCCTTATAATATCCTTCAGCTTCTTAAAGAAAAGAAACTGTGTTAAAAAATATAACTTCAACAAAACTACATGAAAAACATGATCGTCTCTAATAATTATGTCCGCACAAACAAACATATGCACAAAAGCTGAGTATCATCTACCATGTATTCAATTGTGAAAGCAGAATAACATGAAACATATTTTTATTACTGCCAAACTAACGAGAAAATTAAATTTCGCCATTAAATGCTCCATGAGGTGTCGATATATCGTTAAACAGACAAATCAATCAATGTCACATACCTAATTCAGTAACCCTCGACTTTTGATATAAAATTAGAGAAAAATACACTGATCAATTAATCGATTTCATAATCCTATATTTTCAAAATAGCTTCAACAGCCACATTCAGATAAGAATTATTGCAGGTGCTTTTTACGGTTTTTTGTATAATTAAACTCTTTCGGTAGATTTTTGTTGTATAATGGCATGTTTTATTCAGGATATGAAACAATAATGTCTCTGAAAATATAACTTTTCATCATTATCCCTGAAATGCAATGAATTAATGGAAATATAGTTTGTTTTTTTTCCTGATAGATTTCTTCACGGATTAGAATACAGAGTTTTCGTTCTATTAGACTGGTCAACAGCAACGGCTCATGAATCTTCTTTCACCTGATATTTAATCTATAGCTACCGTCGGGAAAACAAGTATTCAGCCCTTTTGGAAGCGAAATTATGATTTTTGTTTATTTGTTTGTTTGTTTAGTGGCATATCAACATCATTTAATGCCGAAATTTAATTTTTCGGGGGGGGCATTAGTAAATTTCTTTACAAAAATATATTGCTTGTAATTTTTTTTTTCAAGAAAGTATTGCTGGTATTTTCCAAATGAAAGTGTATTTTGATGATTGCATAGTGTTTTTACCCCAGTTTGGGGGCTAACTATTTGCCCATAGTTGGGACCCTAACATGAGAAAATGTATGCAACAGACTAGAATGGAATCTGAACTCTGTTCGCAAATTCGATTTTCCATGCTGACAACCGTTACACTAACTGAATAGTACCTATTGTCGTCACACTTCCCCAATCTATTACATTCTGTATTACCAGCAAATAAAACATAACAAAAATCTGCTTACTAAAAAAAAAAAAAAAAAAATGAAAGCGAATCGTGCTTTTCATCAGTCCGAATCAGCTCCAAACAATATTTTAGATGAAGTGATTGTTGATTGGACAGGACTCTTTCTTTCGCTGATTGGTTAGGAGGAAAGTATTTGTTTTGCTTCAGAGTAGTAAGGAAAAAATAGCTGGCGAAATTCAAAACAGAATCGATAATCAAGATTAGGCTGTTTATAACCTATTTCCAAAAATGTCCTTGGGAATGGGTTGAATCCATTTCTTGAACTATGTCATGAAAACAAAAACATGAAAAAAACAAAATCTCCCCGTGGAAGAATATTTATTTAATATTTCATAAATTAAATCGTTTTTTTTTTGTTGTTTTTTTTTTTCACCGTAAATTAATCGGAAAAAAATATATGTTATT